TTTTACAAGAAATGATGAGCAATTTTTTATGATACAGTTTGTATGTCTACCCTTATGTGTGTTGTCTGACTCGCGCTGGTCTTTTGCATCTTTTGCAAACGTAGTACTTCATGGGCCTATCACATCTGAAGCTGTTCCAATGATAGTCTTGAACATATGTGAGGTTCGCTGGCCCTTGATAGAGCTGAAAATGCAGAGGGAACTCAAAAAGACAAAATGCAAAAATCTGCAGTGAGAAAAAACTGCGTTGAGGTTACCTGCGCGCATCTTTTCTCATCAGAATGATCTGGTTGATTTACAGCCCATTTGCTATAATCCAGCGGACTTCCATCTACCCATTCCCATTGGTTTTGCGAATTCATACGAAGACCAATCCAAACAAAATCTTCAAACATTTCAATGCGACTGCCAGTGGATGTGATTTCTGCAAATAATCTCGAATTAACTTCGGGAAAGTGTTTATCTCCGTAAAATCAGGTTACTGTGGATGAAGTTGTTTTCTGGTTCGCTGTGTATGGAAACCAAATGAGCGTCAAGTGCTTGACAGTCTTTCTCTGCGTTATCATAGTTCCTTGCATTTTTCCTTACCTGAAGCTGAAATTTAGTGAAATTGATGAATAACTAAAACGTACCATATACTCGCATGTTCCGAGCACCTGCCAATTGTCGAATTGCAAACTACCGGCGGCTGCTAAGCTTACACTATTATGTGAGCTGTCTGAATGTTTGGTTTCAGCAGATGAACCTCTGCTGCGCAAATCATGGCGTTGTGATGGAGTGTGTCTCAGTCTGCTGTGCACAAAGCCTTCACTCACATGTAGACTTTCAGCAAAACCTCTTTTTGGCCTGAGATCGACATCAACATTTGCAGCTGGATTGGCGTGGAAGGTTCCACTTTCACCTTCACTGTATTTAGTTTTTGACAAAATGTGCCTCTTTTTTCGAGCCTGACAACCACATCCCTTGATTACACGTTTTCGTGGTGGAGGATGTCTCACCTTGCCCTGTACTCTTTTATGTGCAGATATATTCGGGTGTCTGACGATTTTTGGCTTGGCATGTGGTCTCACTGTTTTTGGGTGATGAATCACATTCACAGACCGAGAAGGGTGCTTCTTTGCTTTGGCTTGATAACGAGTTACTATTACGGGCCGAGGGGAGTGCTGCTTTGGTTTGGCTTGAATGTGTACCTTCTCTTGCCTCAGAATTCGAATATCGTGGCGAAGTTTTATATTAGCTGTCAGGACATTCTTTAATGTCAGTGGTCTCTTGACGTGCTTC